TGTGGAGTCCAAGTAAAACTGCAGGCTTCTGCCTACTTGCTGTCCTGTGGACCATAGGTCACATCCAGAGGAAAACATTAATTGTGATGCAATTAATGGGGACTGTGTTTGGTGTTTTAATATCCTGCTTTAGAAAGGCCTGGTGGTGATAAGGATTCGGAGGATAGTCACTTCCTTCCTCTGGGAAGTGGGGAAGTCACAATTTGGGCCACCGCCACTGCGATCCTAATTCAGAGTAATAAGATCTGGCCTTGTGACTTTAAGTGATGACCTCTTGACTAGGTACTGAGTTAGACATTGGAAATAAGAAAAACAGCCCCATTCTGAGTCTTTATCTTCTATCAAAATACTTCCTATCTGTAAGTCTGGACAAATCATTCAATACAAACCTGATGGTAACTAGAGAGTCCACCAACTCTACCTTCTAAGTATAAAACTGCATTTTGGGGACAGGAAATAAATGTCATATATGGCTCTACAATAAATCTGATTCCTTAGGTATTAGATTTGAACTAACGCAGTGGCTTTTAACCAGGGTGATTGTGCCCCTGCCCAGGGGACCCTTGAAAATGTCTAGAGATGTTTTGAGGATGAAGCTACCCAGGGATGCTGCCGAACATCGACAGTGTACAGGACCGACAAACCCATTCTCCCCAGGCTAATAATTAATCTGCCTGTGTCACTCACCCTCAGTCCTGGCCAACTGCTGTCCCAAATCCCAGTATCTGGCAATTTCCCCAATGAATTCACATAAAAGAAAAAGATACCAAAATCATCATTTTTTTTAAAAAAAAGAAAACAATGTTTATTAGGACATTCTGGGGTACAGGTGGCCAAAGGGTCTACGTACACTCTGTAGTGCTTGAGCACAGGCTAACAGAAAATTCAAACATCACAAAACCACTTCCGAAGTCCAAATAGCAAAACTTGTAGTTCTACGTGTAGTTGTTCCTCCATGGGTGCTGCCAAGGAAGCTCATCATGAACAGCTGTGTGAGGAAGAAGCGTGGATAACCTCAGGAGAGTGCACAGGTGTCCTTGGGAAGTGAGGTCCAGGGATATGAGATAAATGCATGATCCATCTTCTGCAAGTGGAAAACCCCAGAAACACAGTACGACATGGAGTCCCGGTTGCCTCCCTTAACCAAAGGCTCCTCGAAGAGGCTGACTGTACCCCTCATCCCAGCTCCGAGGAGCATGGGTGTCTAGCCCCCTTGCTCTGGAAAGAAATCTGCAAATATTCCCCAAATAGTCAGGAAGGCTTCTCCTATCCCACCTGTATTGTTACCCGGCATGAAACACAATGAACAGCAGCCGAAACGGAGACACACCCTCAGGTTAAGGGTAAAAAAATGCAATGGTATCCAAAAATACAAGGAAAAAAAACGATATACCACATCCTAAATCTCACACAGCGCCTCAGCAGGAGTTGGATTATACAGAGAAAATAATTTCAATATCAAGGGAAAATGCGCACAAGATGGGAAAACTCTTTCAAGCAAACTCTGTGGTGAGAAGAGCTTCCCCCTCTCCCTTGGGTGCGGGAAGGGAGAAGAAGAGAAAAGATGGATAATTAGGAGAACTGTGAGGCCCTGGATTTCAGGTTTGCAAAATTATTTCTTCAACCCTCTGAGGACAATCAGCTATTTCTGAATCCAGAAAAGCAGAGAAGTGCCTGATTACAGTAAGACACAGCCAAAGGAGGCAGGGCTGGCTGTGATTTGGTTCTATAGTTTCCATTCTCTCTCTTCCCTCCTCCCCGCCACATTGCAGAAGTGCCTGCAGCTAAAGATGAACAATAAAAACCCCAAATGCAGATCACCATTTGCACGCCAGGAAGATAATGCTGGATCACACAGCTCTGCAGAAGTAGTGACAGAGAGAGAGAGAGAGAGTGCAAGCTCTACCAACGGACCCTTGCACACCAGTGCACTAGAAAACCAGAGACCTTCATCCATCCCTGCCAGTCACCCTGGCCTGGCTCCTGCCCTCGAGGCTCAGAGGAGTGACTCTCTGAGTTCTCCATGAGGCCTTTCAGGTTTAGACTAAGGGTGCTGGATTTGCCTTCTCCCCGGTGGGTGAGCTGGCTTTGCTGCTGGGCCCATGGGGACTGTGACTTCTCTTTTGGAGACCAAGTCTGAAAATCCAGCTCAGAGACTATTTATAAAAAGGAGGTCAAACTGAAGGATTCTAGTGTTTCTCCTAAAGTGCTGTCAGAGGGTCCAAAACTCTCTAGTTACTTGTGGGGAAGGTTCTGCTCCAAATGGTGGTTCATCTAGCCAGAGGATCTGCTCAACAAAGTGCTGCACTGACCAGCATTTGACTTTGCTCCTCAGGATGTGGCTAGAGAGTCTGTCACTCTTGGGAGTGGTCTGGAAGGAAGTGGTGGAATGCACTAGAAGGCCCAGAAACCTTCATCCATCCCTGCCAGTCACCCTAGCCTGGCTCCTGGTGGCCAATCTGTACTACTGACTCCTAACAGCCCTGGGTTTCTTGACCCAGCATCCACTGGACTGTCGAATTCTTACCACTGTCTCGTCTATATCTATGTGACATCGGGCACATAGTGGCGGTCCAGCTTTCTTGTCAGTGACTTGGGCTTGAGGCAGATTCCAATCTCCACAGACTCACTGGTCTGGCAGATGCCGAGAGCTATGGGACTAGCTGGTCACATCCCTCCAGGGATAAGTGCTAGCTTTTCATCTCTCGGCAAGGAACACAATGGACAGATGTAAAGTGGCGGTGATCCCAGTGTTTTCTAAGACCTTTTGTCCAAATTCAGTACCTCACAGTGTCAATTTCAGTGTCAGTGCAGCTCACTGCCAGCACAGCTACACAAATGGACCCGTTCTTGCCACCATGTGACAGAATGAAGCCCTTCAAGGTCCCAACGGACATTTTTAAGTACCTACCATGGCTCACGCTTTCTGCTGGGGAAGACTGGTGAGCCGGAAGACATGTTGGGTTGGAGGAAGTGGCTGACAATCTGATGGGTCTCCTGGCACTCTCTACAGAACAAAAATGGGGATTGCTAAGAGAGCCTGGCCTGGGATGAAGACAAGAAAATCAGAGAAACCGTCTATTGATGCTGGTGCTGCGCTTGGCAGCTGCCTTTGAGCAAAAATAAACTCCCCATGGCAGTGGGACAAGATGCTGATATTGGCACCTGCCAGAGGCAGACAGCCGAAGTCGCAGCTGCGCTGGTCAAATGAGCTTGGAGACCTTAGGGGGCTGAGGCCTCCATGACTATTAGCAGGCTGCAGTGCTCTGCAGGCAGTTTATTGAAATAGGGTTTGTGCGCCTTCCCCACTCCTCTGGGCTGGGTCTCAGAACAATGAGGAGTGCAGGTGGCACGTGGCACAGAACAACCATCCCTAAGCTGCCTCTGGGAGGGAGGAGAGGCTCCAAAGAACACAGGAAGCCATGAAAGGATTCCCGTGCCCGGGCAGGACAGGGCATGCTCAGGGGGGGACAGGACATGCAATGTGAACACAGGGCATCCTCGGGGGAGTGTCAGAAGATGAACTTTCGACTTGAGGATTAGTGTCATCTTTCAACCATCTGGGTGCCAAGAAGGACTTATCCTTCAACAAAATGGGCATCTGATGGGACAAGAATGAGTTTGGGTGGCTATAAATTTAGAATGATTAGGGTAAGGAAACGACAGGAAGGGATCTTGTTAAATACTTAGGCCATAAAGAACAAGGGTGGACGTGAAGACAACCAATCAACAGTATGTTAGGGAAGTGAGCCAACCAATGTCTTGAGACAGCCGTCCTCAGAAGAGAGACCTACTGAGTCATGGGTGCGGGGGCAGCTGTAAGGCCTCTGCAGAGAGGATGTTATTCAGGGGTACAGTTCTCCTGAAGAATCTTGGACAACAGATGTAAAACAAATGATCACTCAAGAAGAAAAGCGCACCTCAAAGTCCAGAGGTGCCAGGTGTGTAAGCAATTCCTAGCTCAGGATAAGAATAAAATGCAGCTTCCTCAGGCATCCCAACAAATCCCCGGAATTTCTAAAAAGAAATTCCTTCCTCTGCCACCCATATATTAGCTCTGGCCTCCTTTCTGTAAAAGGAACAACCGCCTACTTCAAAGACTCTGGCTGTTTTGTTAGAAATGCCTCCTGTATCGATAAGCAAGACACATCAGCGGACTGTATGACACGCTGGCCCCTGGCATGTGGCTTCCTGCGGCACCTTGATTATATTTCATCTGTCCAAACTCCATGCAGATGGGCCTTCTGCCGTCACGGTGCCTGGGCCAGTGGTAATTCACTCCCATCTGTGGCCATTGCTTGCAGGTCTTTCTTGAAAAGATGGGTCTCCCATGGTCTCATTTGCTCCAGCAGAAGAGCAGAAGCCAAAGCAACAGAGCTCAAGGGAGTCTTGAGTCCAGGAGGTCAAGAACAGTGTCAGGAGAGAATTAGAAAATGCGAGCTCATTTACATAGCCCCTCTTCTGGTCCACAGCTTATTGACTCAAATAAATCGGGCAAGTCTAACTACAAGAATGAAAACTTACTTTCCAAAAGACAGCTCCTCCGAGGACACTATTTTGTAAATAATAATTGAAATACATTTATGCTGGATTCTAAGAAAAGAATTTGCTAATTATATAAACTCCCATGGCTCTTACATCTCTTCTCTCCACTACTTGACACTGACTCAGAAATGCTTCCGCTCTCCCACTCTCCTAGTTGGGCAGATGGAGCGTTTCTGGAGTGGCTGATTTAGTGACAAGGAGGCCTGAGGGAAATGGGTGCAGCTGGGAGCCCCCCAACCTCAGAGCGCAGGCAGGACAGCAGCAGTCCCAGTGGAGACCAAATCCAAGGCCAGGGCAGCTCCGGAGAAGCCCTGTTCTGTACTGGGTGAACCTGAAGTCACAACTTCTAAGATATGTTTTTGATACAAGATAGACAATCATTTAAGAAAAACAACAACAACAACAACAACAACAAAACCAGAAACAAACAAACAAAAAAACCAGAAACCACCCTCTCATCATAATCTGGATACAATTTATTACACTTAATGAAAAACAACCTAGGTAATTCTCAACATCTATTTTTTTTCTATTAGAGACTTGAAAACAATCATATATGGAAAAATAAATATTCAATTGGCATTCTGAATTTCCTCTCTATATTGTGCACTTCTTCTTCCATGTGCTCTGTTAAAAAGATACTCAATCATATATTAACCAAAGATATTCAACATCAAAGTGGAATGGATGTGCTTCTAATCAAAATGGCAATATTGCCCTTTTTTCCCTCTCTCTCAAATAAGTAGGGCATGGCTAGACTTGATCTGAGAGTCACCGTCTGCATGGACTCAAGTTTCTGTTCTTGCGTCATCAATATCAACCAGGAGATGCTTTCAGCAAGAGACCCGACCTCAGCAGACAGCCCCTGTGTTTGTGATGTCCCCATTGCGGGGACTGTAGAACCAAAAGTAGGAATCCCTTTTGCTTGTACACACCCCAAGGGGAAGTCACACAGGTAAAAGATTTAAATCATTTGCCTGCTTCGGTCCTGGGTAAATGATGGTCACCGTGTTAAGTTGGAATCACACTGCAGGACAGGACTGCTTGCTTGCTTTGATTGTGTAAGAATCTCCTTCATTGAATACTTCCCTAGCAAGATCCTGCCCCCTGTTTATTTAATCAGTAACTTATTTTCAAATGGAGGATTTGGTAACTCTAATATGCTTTTATCTCTGAAAAAATAAATGGGATCTTCGTTAGTGATAGAGCTTTTCAAAATTTAATTTATGTGTTAATGTCTAGGCAGTCTTCAATGAAGGCTGCCCTTGTTAGCACAGAGAACGCCCATTTCCTCTTTGGTCATCTGAAGCTAATTACTTCTGCATGCAGCAGAAGGAATCAATAGCTTTCTACAGTGGATCACATAGAATCAGACCCATATGCCACCAGTCCAGTGTAGATACACAGAGATACCTTAATCAAAACAAAATATGTTCTGTAAGAGATATGTTCTCATAGATGACTGGCATTCCAAATGTTTTGACACATTTAAAGTGTTTATTCAAAGTAAGAGTCTTTATGGAACTTTTTACTGATCAAATACAGTTGGGTGTTTGATGCATTTCCCTTGAAAACATTTTGAAGTGAAAAATCTTGGTAGTGAGCATTATACATTTGTGTTTATTAACATTTGGATATAAATTTACTTCAAACACTGAAAGAGCTAAAAGACTAGGCCTTTCTCTGGGATTTCGTAGATTTCCTCCTCTCCCCCACCCCCAGTCATCTGATAAATCTTTCTAGGCAAACCTCAGCAGGCACAGGGGATCAATATGAGACGTACACCTTGGGGTTTCTCCTCTGGCCCTCTCCCAGCGTGGGAAGAAAGTTCGTGCTCCCCAGCACCCTGTGGAGGGAGACACAGCCACAGGTCCTTGATCACTGCACATTCTGAATCTCACTGTATAAACCAGGCTTCAAAAGCGCACTTTAGGGTCTCTTCGGTTAAGGATGGGAACTACTGTAGCTAACAGAGCCAGGAGCCTTTTCATGAGAGTCCTGCCCTGTTCTGCCTGTCTCTGCCAACCAATGCACCTCGTCAGGGCATCTGACACTGACCCTCTCTCCATCCACAGACCTTGGTGCTTTTGCACAGTCAGCCACAGTCTGTCGTGGGGGACGTAGAACAAGACACAAGCAGATTCTGGATGAACTCCCAACTAACCCCTTTCTAAACAGGGGCTGAGGCAGTCGGGAGTAAAGACTTAGGAAAACAACTGCATACCCCGGCATGGATCAGCATTGAAAGACAGGGCAGCACATCCTGTCCCCTGTCCCAGTCAAAGCCACTTTTGTCCAATACTCTGGAAACCAAGGCATCCAGTTGTGTCAACTGGCAACGGTGCCATGAGACAGTGCAGAACACTTACGAGTGGCCACCGGTTTCCTCGCCTGTATGCACACCTGCATTTCAACACAGGATAAAAGACAATGCCTGGCTCCTCTGAGTCCTCCTGTGCGCCCGCAGTCACATGATGCTAAGCATTCTGCTAAAGCAGGAGCTCCTCAGGGTCTGCTTTTGAAGAGCTGTATTTGTGAAGTTAATATCGGAGCTACACCACTCAGGAGAGGAAAGCAAGCTCCACGTATTTTGTATTAAACCATCAGTAAAAAAATGAAGACAATATCATTACTCTCAAAATATAGAAAGCCCATAGTTGAAATCATTGAGTAGTAAAATTTTTTTCTACATATAACCTCATAAATGTAAAGAATATTAGAGTGACCATCAGCTATATTGACTCTTGTTAGTTTAAGGGCTTCTCACTCAGGTAAGGCTTAGGAGAGTGTCAATCAATGACCAAGGAACCGTGAAATTTCACATTCACTCCCCCCCCCCATCTTGACTAAAAGACAGATACTACATTTGGATGTAATAGGTGTTTTGTTTCATAGGAGAGCATAGAACTGATTATGCACATAAACGTTAGTGTGGAAAATGCCAGTACATACAGAAAGGTGAACATCGGTACAAGCTTGTTTCCACAAAGCCCACTCTGGATGATGACCTTCACTTTGTGACAGAAAAAAAAAAAAGCTTGTCATCCATGTTAGGTTGCCATTTGTCATTAGAAATCAAAGCCATTACATGAGATGTGAGAGAATCCTTAGAAAGACCAACTTCCTCTCTAGCTAGCAAATGCCAGAGTGAAAACTTTTAAAACCACCACCACCATCATCATCAAAACATGGCCCCAGTTGGCTTTACAGCCAAATTTACAAATTGTCCCCTTTAAGTACAGCATGCCCCAAAGCCTTTGAGTGTGGGATGCAGGACTGCATCAGACTGTCCAGAGAAGCCCCTAAGGATCACAAAAAGGTTTCTTTAAAAAAAGAAAAAAAAAAGTTCCAGTTGGATGAACCTGTTTCTCAACTGAGCTCCTAAAACTGGATTTTCAGATATACAAGAGGACAGGAAACAGATAACTTGCTTTTTGTCTTTTTACATGTCCATATGGTTTTTTAAATGCAGCTACGATGTTCCTGCCAAAGATAAAGATAATAGGGTGGACAGAGCAGTTACCACCGGAACCAGCAGTGGGCTCAGACCGCAGCGTGGAGGTGCCGCCATTGATTTTGTGGTTATGTGGCTGGAAGGACCAGCCAGACCGTCCTTTTCGTAATCCCGCTGTAAGAGAGAATGTTTTCATCGTCATCCATGGTACATATCCATTTCATCACAGATAAACCACACTCTTGCTCTTCCCTGCTCCCTGCTCCTCCTGGTTGACCCACTCACCAAAGCTGACCCAAGATTTTACCGCTGAGATTTCATTCTGCTGACCTGTTTGTTTCATGAGAAGGAATCATGAACTTGAGTGAGACCCAGATACTTTTGACAAACTCTAGCAGATGCTATTGCTTCCTCCTTCACACTGAATCATTAAGGTCCATTCTGGGGGAAAACATTTGAGCTTGGGCATCTCTGCCACCTCCCCACCTCTTCCACAGGTGACCTAGAAGCTGTGTGACGTGCAATGCTTCCTCCAGGCAGCTCTGGTGAGGAGGGATGCTGGGTTCCCTCCCACCACAGAAGGAGGGCAGGAAGGAACCATCTTGGAGAGCTTCCCAGTCAAGGCCCAGTTCCCACAGAGATGGGCCACAACCAGCATGGGGGCAGACAGAGCAGGCAGGGGCTTTCCCCTCCACTGGCCAGTCCCACTCTGGGTTTTACAGTGGAACAGTCAGAGAGGGCAAGGAGCTTGTCCAACTCCTCGTCACCCAGCCCACACCCCAGGCTTCAGGACTCGTCAACACAATTGTCCTTTCCCAGGATGGACTCCTCCATTCCACAGCCACACTGCTACATCCATCACACCACATCCCACGGTGGACAAGAATTAGGATCAGCACACTTCAATTATCCCTCTCCTCACCAGTGAACTGGGGAGAGTAATGGGACCTGCCCTCTCTACCTCTGTGTCCTTGTGAAGGTCAGAGGAACTGCAGGTAGAGGCCATCCAGTATACACCAAGAGCCCCATGCATCTTCTCCGTGCTGGATGACTTTATATGACTTGTTCTCAGAGAGTCTCATAGCATCAGAACAGTGGTTTCAGTGCTGGGGATGGATCTCAGATGAAGATCCGGGGTCCTACACTTTGTTCTAACTTTGTGCACTGAATCCAAAGTCTGCACCTTTCTCAGAAGGCAGATGGACACAGAGGGTGGCTTCATTTTTTTTCCTGGACCTGAAACCTTATTGCCTCAGAGCCTCATGTATCATCTCGTGCCCTGGAGCCCAAAGGCTATGTCTATAAATGCAAGAAGACCCCAAAAGAAACGTGACTTACATCAGAAAGACAGAGATGTGTACTTCCCGAAACATTGGATTTCAGCTTCTGTGCCTGGAGAAAGACAAGGAGAGAGGGGGAAATCTCAAACATAATAAGGAAGAGTAATTACTGATGATCCATTAATCAATAGTCCAGGGCAGCACTGCCCAATAAATACATGAGTCACAACTGTGAGACACATCCATAATTTACAATATGTTAGTAGCCACCTAATAAAGAGATAACAGGTGAAGTTAATTTTAATAATATATTTTGTTTAACCCACTATATTACCATTTCAACTTGTAATCAATATAAAAAATTAATGAGATGCTTTACATTCTTTTTTTCCCACACTTGAGTTTTCAAAATCTGGTGGTGTCTGACATGGCACGTCTCGGCTCAGACCTGCCTCATTTCAAAAGCTCAATTGCTACTTGTCACTAGTACATCCAGGGACAGTCCAGGCAGGACTGAGCTTCTAAAAGAAAAACCAGGAAGTAGCCAGTTATTTGTATTTCTGAATGTTCATTCTGGGGAGTGCCTCCTTCTACTTGAGAATGTTGCCAATAGAAATCCCCACTTATTAGTAAACACACAGGGGCTTCCAAAAGCCAGTTTGTTTGTTTGCTTGTTTGTTCATTATTCCAGTCAACAAACACTACCAGGCTCCTACCATTTTCCAGACTTCTAAAGTTCACAGGGTGGTGAACAGAAAGCACCAGTAAGAACACCTCTCCCTGGTTCTGGGATCAGGCATCGGACAGATGGCCACCTCTGAGAAACCAAGCAGGGCAGTGCAGATCCTGATCCAGCAATTTTAAAACTGCTTTCTGGGCAGTTGCCAGGGGGCTTAGCTGCAAGGACTTTAAGCTCCCTGTTTTCCCTCAACTGGACCAACTCCACTGGGCTTTTGCCTAAGAATTCAGTGGGAGGAACAGTTTCATCATTCAAACAATCAGAGTAACACACTTGTGAGAATCACTGACCCAATACAGCTCTCTCGTTTTACAAAATAAAACAATGAGAGTCCAAAGAAGTTAAGTGACTTTTCGAAGGTCAGGCAGCAATTTGCTTGTAAAGTCAGGATGCATCCAATCTCGTCAGCTCTTGTATGAACAAACATTCTCTCCTGCATGAACAGTGTTTCCCTCAGTCTCTAAATCCACCCAAAGAACTCCTCCCCTGATCCACCATCCTCATCCACAGCAATAGCAGCCCTTTGGCTCCAAAAGACAGAAAGCTCATTTGTTGGTAAGATAAGACCATGTAAAGCATCCCATGAGTCAAGGCGCACCTGAGTGACTGGCTGAGTGTGGGGCTCGCTGCCTGCATGCTGCAAGACTTCTACAACTCACCGAAGACACGCTGGGCTGAAAGTACAGCATGTTGGCCCAACGAGTAATTTACTGACCATAATGCTCCTTGGAAAGCATCATAATCTTTACCTATATTTGCATATGCCAGCTGTGAATGTGAAATAGGAACCTTTAAACAGGCTTCGAGAATAAGACACTGTGAAGCATCCCTGGGCTGTTCAAAGGTCACTAAATGTTATGTATAAGGAGATCAGAGGGGAAATTGAAAGAGGAATTGAACCTCACTCAAAAGCCTACTTTTAATCTATATTAATAGCAAATCTGGTCCACTGCATTGTTACCAACAGAGAATAATGTGTAGAACTTAAGTTATTTCCATCCAAGATTGGAACTGTGCCCAGACACCAAAATGACCCTAAAACATCCCATTCTGCCTTTTCTTTTCTAGGCCATAATCTACAAAAGACAAAAACCCTTGCTAAGGGCCTCTGCATAACTAATGCATTCACTAAATTGCGCAGAGAAGCCAGCCTGTGCAGTGGTCACAGCTAAGCTGCTTTTTAGTGTCCTGGGCCACAGTGGCCTCTGACAGCACCAGGACTGGGCAGGTGTCCTCCACTCCATAGGATTAGCTCTTGTGGGCAGTGCTTTGCTCATGGTGACACTCCCCAGCTGTATTTCTCTGTCACTTCAGGAATCTGAGGTGGCACTAGTGGAATATCGCCATGATGGAATGACTGTGAAGGGCTTCCAGCAGGGGCCAGAAAACGCCTCCATCTTCACAGACATCACTAAGTGGCTTGGCCTGTGCAGGTAGATCTCGGGCCCTCATCAGTCACTGGAGGCTTCTTACTGTGCGCAGCACTTAGGAGCCTTTGCCAGGTCCACATGCCCAGGTCTACACTGCCAGCTTTCTCCTCCCTCCAGGAATGGCTGTGTGAAGTGTTCAATCACAGGACATGAGCTTAGACAGGTTCAACGTGTGTGAAGTCTCTGGGCTCCTGTTGCCCCCGAGCAGCCATCCTACTGACTTCTAAGGGTCAGCATCTGGCTGCGTCTCCCTGCAGCGCCACCGGCCTGACTAAAACTGCAGGCATGAGGCCCCCACTCCTCTGTCCTGGAGGACCACCCTGACTCGCGTAACTGCACGAACTGCTGAGTTCCAGTTAGACTGCACCAGGCCCTTACCTACTGCTTCTGAGAGCAGGCCCACCCCTTGTCACACCCGCCCAGTCCACAGCATGCAGAGCTCTAACCACTAAGCCTCCACAGATGTGAACAGGCTTCCTGCTGAAAGGTCCCAGTTCTCTGGGAAACCACCACGACTGCAGAGGCAGAGTAGGGCACAGCAGAGATGTCCTGAGGTCCACCTAAACCCAGAGGGGCCACCATAAGGTCTGTGCATCTAATAGGTGAAGGGCAAAAGTTACCAGCTATTGGAATGGAGATGGCACATAAGTGACAAGATCAAAGGTTGCACATAGCTGTGAGGTCCTTTTAAATGCCTCACCAAATGAGATGCAGACTAGAGAGGATCTGCTGCCTAGCCTGGGGGGCAAGAACTACAGAGAGAAAGTTGTGCAGTGCCCCTAACAGCATGTGAGATGCAGGCAGAGGGGCAGAGCCCGGCCTTCAGAGCTGTGTGCATCTGGCTGGTCAGTGCTTAGGCATCTTGTTCACTCTGTGAACACCCAGCGACAGCTGGGAGTCAGAAACCTTCAACTGCAGATCCAGAATCTACTTAAGAAAATCAGAGACTTAAAGCCCACTTTAGAAGCTCAAGAAACCTGTTATTTCTACATTTTAAAGGCATTTATTGAGTATTTGTGAAAACATCACCAAATAATCACTGTCTTGCTAGTCAGATCTGATAAATGCAAGCAGACAAAATTATAGGATGTCCTCTTTCTTCAACTCTTGCAAAGAGTACATACATAGTTTAAATGTTGTCCTATTTACTGACACTTGGGATAGTCCCAGGAAAATTAAAAGGAAAAAAGAAATCTCAGACTTTGTAAGAAGTAAGGTAAGTTAGAAACTGAAAGAATACATTTTTATCCCTGTATTATAAATTGGTAAAACCAAGGATATAATAATGTATGTCCTGCACAGAGCACACGTTTTTTTTCTGTGAGCTCTGCAACCCTGCTAATTCTAGGATATTCAGGAACTCAACTCACAGCTTAGCCAATCTGTACCTATCTGGATACTGAATCTTAAAGTTTATGGTCTTAAAATAGGATATGTGTTGGGCTGGGGATATAGCTCAGTTGGTACAGTGCTTGCCTTGCATGCACAAGGCCCTGGGTTCAATCCCCAGCACCACAAAAAAAAAAAAAAAAAGATATGTCTTGCAAAAAAAAAAAAAAAAAAAGAGGAGCGAGAAGGTATTTCCGACAGTCCACCTGAACCAACATTACAGTATGAAGAGTGTTTCCCAGCAGCTGATTCCTAGTGTTGTGGTTTGGGGAAGCCGCCTGACTCTGCATTGTGGAAACATCACCACCAAGACCTAGTACCTTGAGGTTTGTATCTTTAGAATGGAAAAATGCAAACGTGAATACAGTAACCTTCACCACATTCTAGAAAAAGAAGGAAACCTGTTCTTTAGGCTCTTCAGAAGGCTTGTCCCCTCCAGTATCTACTGCTTTCCTGTTATAAAATTGTCACTGGCAGTAATACGCAAGTCCAGGCACGTTGCATAATAGAATTTCCAGGGCACTGTAATTGTGAGGCCAGACCTCGCCAGTCCCTGGCACCAGAGGGTTAATAAATGCATTAGATGCTGTTAACCTCTGTTACCTGGAGTCAGAGCGGGGTCTCTCCTGCTTTTATCCAGTGATTAGCATTTGGAAAGCCAGCCTTGGTGCCAACGACATTCCGTGCAGAACATACAGGCACACCCATAATTTATAGCTCAGAGTCAGGTACCCACATGGTTCTGCCCATAGTAGGTTCTGCAGAGCCTTGGGGACAGGTCAGACTTGTGAACAGCGTGCTTGCTCTGTTTATGGAACTGGAGACTTAAAAGCACACCCACTCGAAGCCTGGCCTTCGCTACCCCAGGACTCAATTTCTGTAGAGAAGCCAGTGTTTAATCTGGGGTTTTTAGGCAGCTGTCAGCCAGCAGGGCATGGAACATTTCTCTCTCTCTCTCCCCTCCATGCAGAAGAAAAGCCTTTTTTTTTTTTTTTTTGCTCTACCTCCAGAAAATAAAACCAGAGGAAGCTGCCCAATCCAATAGCAACAGACTGTCCAGGCTGTAGCCAAATAGTCATAATTAATGATGCTCTGGTTCTTTTCTCCCTTGCTTTACTGATTAGAGAGATTTGCTATATTAGGAACCTGTTTGCTTAATGACAGAATACAAGCAATAAACAGAGAAATACACAGACTGTAAAATGCAATCAACTTTGCTCTCCAGAACTCACTAAGTACCTCGCCGCATCTATCACACTTGTCAATACGGGTTGATTAGCATAAGAGTCTCTTCTGCAGCATAAATTGGACCCTTGCTAGGGAAAACCAATGCATGAGTTCTTTCTGAAATAGTCTGGAAACAAAGTCCAGAACTCAAAGCCATCTCTCAATTTAAATGTGCATATCTTATGTTCCCTTGTAAAACCAAATGTAGGAAGAAGAAAGGTGTACTCCTAATCCCAAATGATAACTGAGCAGAGCAGCTTGCTTCAGAGTTTGCATTTTTCACATTGTATTTGAATAGACACATCTGATTACAGAATTGTATGGGTA